GCGGGGAGGGTGGGGACCCCCACACACACACCCACCCACACGGTCTCTCTGTCCCCGCCACCCGCCCCGCTGAGGCTCGGTACCGTGGGCGATGACGATGCCGACAGCGTTGGGCTCGGAGAGGGGAGCCATGGGGACGTTCAGCTTCTGGGAGATGCTGTAGGAGGCGTGGATGTGGAGGCTGCACTGCAAGCGTGAGAGGAGACCCCGTCCAGGAGCCCGCAGGGACCGGGGACGGGTGGATTCACCCATTAACTCCTGGTGGGTGCTGGAGAGCACCCCCAGGACCCCCCCAGCCTGCCACGCAGCCCTGTGGTGCGACCCACAGGCCATGCACAGCTGGGCCCATGCCCTCAGCATCCCTGGCGGGAGCTGTAGAATGGATTCGCTCGCCCCCGAGCATCCCCTTGGCAGAGCTGAGACAGAGGGTACCCAGGGGGAGGGCACCAGGATCCCCCTGGTGGGGGACAGGCCCACCTCTTCCTTGCTCCTGGCTGTGGAGTCGCAGGTGGTGTTTTTGGGTTTCCTCAGCGGCACCCACTCCCCACCACGGTCAAAAGTGATCACGGACTGGATGGAGTTGTCTGGTGGGAGGAGGAGGAGGAGGAAGAGCCGATGGGGTCGGGAGGATGCTCAGAGCGTCCTCACCCAGCACAGGGTCACGCTCCCCTCCAGCCCTGCCCCAGGACCCAGACCCCATCCCTGGGGAGGCAGAACCCCAGATTTGGGCAGGGGGACGAAGACGTGGCCGCCCACCTTCGGAGAGGACGCTGGTGATGTAGATGCCCCGCAGGGAGGTGACGTTGGTGAAGTCGGTCTCCCCACCGGTGGTGGTGTAGAGGTGCCGCTCCAAGGACTTGGAGTAGACGATGCCGCGGTCATCGGAGGTGTAGATGGTGCCAAACCCCGTGTCTGCAAGAGGGACCCGGGGGCAGCAGTGAGGGGGGGGCCGCTCCCACGTGGCCATCACAGGCTGGCGTCGGCACCAGCAAACCCCCCGGGGCGTCTCGGGAAGAGAAGAAACCCTTGAGTGCTGCAAAACGGACCCGAGCGTGGTCACGGTCCCCGTGCGCTGCAAACCAGAGCAAGCAGCCTGCTAATTAGCGATGCCTTAATGAGAAAGTCCTTCCTCCAAGGCACAGCACAGCTACCGCTGCGTGGGGAGCCCCGTGCTGCAGTGAGGAGCTGGCTCGCTTGCTTACAGAGAGGTTTCCAGTTGTCCCCAACCCCAGGACGTGTCCCTGTCCCCGTCAGACGCAGCCTGGTCCCACTCACCGCCCGGCTCGTCCACGTGCATGAACACCAGGTCATCGTTAGCGGCCAGGATGGAGTAAAACTGCTCGTGCCCGACGGAGGGGAGCTGGGCCATGTTCCAGGTCTCACCTTGGTCGAGTGAGACATGAATGCGCCTCGTGTTGCCCTGGAGAACCAAAGCATCGTCGTCCTTCATCCTCCTCGCAGGGAGAGGAAGGGGGCGCCGGGGACAGCCGGCTCACCCCTGCCTGCTCCCCAGCAGCACCGGGAAGGGGGGACAAGGACCTTCTCTGTCATGACGGAGGCAAAAAGAAAGCGTCCTCCCAGCCCGAAGGAATAAATCTTGGTGCCGATGACCTTGAAGGCTTTGCCGAAGTCGGAGGTTTTCTTTAGCTCCAGTAACCCCAGATCAGCTTCTTAAGAAGAAGGGACGGTGGATTAATGAGCCTGGAGCTGCCTCCAGCTTCGTCAGCCGCCACTGGAGCTGAGCGTCCCCCCCAGTGTCCCAGCTCGGGGTATTCCCAGCTAATCCCAGCTTTTCTGCTGGGACTACCACCACTGTCTCTGCAGGGTCCCCAAAGTCACGGGGCCCCCAGAGATGTGACTCAAGATCGAGAAGTACTTACTGCAGGAGTTGTTCAGGTAGGTGGTGAAGAAGATGGTGTCGTTTGCACCCCTGGGGAAGAGAAAAAAGTGGGGGGGGGGACACCCAAGAGCAGGTGGGACACGGTGGCCCAGGAGGCCACCACCCACAGATCCATCCCTGGCTGTGGCATCGCTCTGAGGGGTTTGGGTGGGTGTTCCCCTGCCTGCTCAGGCTGTGGTGGGGCCCCCCCAAAATCACTTCTCCCCCTCACAAAGCGGTTAGCCACTCACCATTTGGCCAGGCAGACGGCTTTGTGGATCTCCTCCCACTTCTCTCCGAAATCCCTGGAGACCCAGAGGCCGTTCTGCAAGAGCCAAGAGGTTGGTTATGGCCG